AGAGAGAGAGAGAGAGAGAGAGAGAGAGAGAGAGAGAGAGAGAGAGAGAGAGAGAGAGAGAGAGAGAGAGAGAGAGAGAGAGAGAGAGAGAGAGAGAGAGAGAGAGAGAGAGAGAGAGAGAGAGAGAGAGAGAGAGAGAGAGAGAGAGAGAGAGAGAGAGAGAGAGAGAGAGAGAGAGAGAGAGAGAGAGAGAGAGAGAGAGAGAGAGAGAGAGAGAGAGAGAGAGAGAGAGAGAGAGAGAGAGAGAGAGAGAGAGAGAGAGAGAGAGAGAGAGAGAGAGAGAGAGAGAGAGAGAGAGAGAGAGAGAGAGAGAGAGAGAGAGAGAGAGAGAGAGAGAGAGAGAGAGAGAGAGAGAGAGAGAGAGAGAGAGAGAGAGAGAGAGAGAGAGAGAGAGAGAGAGAGAGAGAGAGAGAGAGAGAGAGAGAGAGAGAGAGAGAGAGAGAGAGAGAGAGAGAGAGAGAGAGAGAGAGAGAGAGAGAGAGAGAGAGAGAGAGAGAGAGAGAGAGAGAGAGAGAGAGAGAGAGAGAGAGAGAGAGAGAGAGAGAGAGAGAGAGAGAGAGAGAGAGAGAGAGAGAGAGAGAGAGAGAGAGAGAGAGAGAGAGAGAGAGAGAGAGAGAGAGAGAGAGAGAGAGAGAGAGAGAGAGAGAGAGAGAGAGAGAGAGAGAGAGAGAGAGAGAGAGAGAGAGAGAGAGAGAGAGAGAGAGAGAGAGAGAGAGAGAGAGAGAGAGAGAGAGAGAGAGAGAGAGAGAGAGAGAGAGAGAGAGAGAGAGAGAGAGAGAGAGAGAGAGAGAGAGAGAGAGAGAGAGAGAGAGAGAGAGAGAGAGAGAGAGAGAGAGAGAGAGAGAGAGAGAGAGAGAGAGAGAGAGAGAGAGAGAGAGAGAGAGAGAGAGAGAGAGAGAGAGAGAGAGAGAGAGAGAGAGAGAGAGAGAGAGAGAGAGAGAGAGAGAGAGAGAGAGAGAGAGAGAGAGAGAGAGAGAGAGAGAGAGAGAGAGAGAGAGAGAGAGAGAGAGAGAGAGAGAGAGAGAGAGAGAGAGAGAGAGAGAGAGAGAGAGAGAGAGAGAGAGAGAGAGAGAGAGAGAGAGAGAGAGAGAGAGAGAGAGAGAGAGAGAGAGAGAGAGAGAGAGAGAGAGAGAGAGAGAGAGAGAGAGAGAGAGAGAGAGAGAGAGAGAGAGAGAGAGAGAGAGAGAGAGAGAGAGAGAGAGAGAGAGAGAGAGAGAGAGAGAGAGAGAGAGAGAGAGAGAGAGAGAGAGAGAGAGAGAGAGAGAGAGAGAGAGAGAGAGAGAGAGAGAGAGAGAGAGAGAGAGAGAGAGAGAGAGAGAGAGAGAGAGAGAGAGAGAGAGAGAGAGAGAGAGAGAGAGAGAGAGAGAGAGAGAGAGAGAGAGAGAGAGAGAGAGAGAGAGAGAGAGAGAGAGAGAGAGAGAGAGAGAGAGAGAGAGAGAGAGAGAGAGAGAGAGAGAGAGAGAGAGAGAGAGAGAGAGAGAGAGAGAGAGAGAGAGAGAGAGAGAGAGAGAGAGAGAGAGAGAGAGAGAGAGAGAGAGAGAGAGAGAGAGAGAGAGAGAGAGAGAGAGAGAGAGAGAGAGAGAGAGAGAGAGAGAGTGTGTGTGTGTGTGTGAGTGAGAGAGTGAGTGAGTGAGTGTGTGTGTGAGAGTGTGTACACTCACACTCACACTCACACACACACACTCACACTCACACTCACACACACACACTCACACACACACACAGGTCGTCAGGAGGACGATGACATCATCAGCACAAAAGCACTGGTATGTGTGCGGTCACTGGGTTTACCTGTACGCCTCGGACTCATCCATGCTGCTCTCCAGATCAACACAAACACAATAGAGTTATTGATCAGCGGCTCAGTGTTGTTCACATCAATCGATCAGCAGACAGAGCTACAAATCTGCACTGAAGACACCGGCAGATTCACCATAAACTGTGAATGGCTTATACACAGAAAGAGGGCAAAGAGCGCTGCTTTGTTTGTGTGAAGTGTGTATGGATGACAAACCTCTCCCTTGACTTTTGCATCAAAAGATTTTTTTCTTTTTGCTTCCTTGTTTAAAAGGCATCATTTTACAACACAACAACAGTTTATTAAATAATTACGTTTTGAGTCATTTATTCGAGTTTGTTTATATATTTTCAGTTAGTCCCCTTCATCTAGTGCACACAGCACTTCTACATCATATTTTCATTTATTTTTAATGACTTTTTCCTATTTCCTTTGTTGTTGTTATTGGCATTATAAATGTTTGAAACTAGTATTTATGTGCAAAATCCTGTATGTTTGTCACTTAATTAGAGGTTATAAGTTACTGTTCATAGTCTGGTCAGAGGCAAGCATTTTGCATGATCAGTAATGTTATATTAACAAAAATGGTCACTAGTGTTACTTACGGTTGTTACACTTCCTTAATTCATGAAACAGAATTATATAATTTATGAAAGACAAAATATAACTGCACTCTCACTTAAGCCTAAATTGGAAAATCAACATTTTTTGAAAATGACTCTCTTAATCTGCATTATAGCGATAAAATAGCGATTTCAATATCAAGGGCAGTAATCGACTGTTATTTGGGGCATAGAGGAGAAACAATAATGTACAGTATGTGGAAAATAATGTGTTTTTTTAACTTTAAACCGCATAAACACATTTCATTACACCAAATACACAAAATAATGTTCTTTTTAGCAGCATCATATGACCCCTTTAAGTTACGTACAAATGCGTTGTAAACAATCGATTAGAAATCTCTCGGAAAGCACTTACTAATGATGCCTTGAAGCGAAATGAGTTTATAACTGAAACACGGTTATCTCTCGCTGTTTACGCTCTAATTACGTGCGTCACTTAATGCGTGATTGCGTAACTCGGCAGTGACCAATCAGATTCTGAACAACGACGCGAATCTTGGCGCGACGGACGCGTGAAGCCGCGATGATCGCTCGCGGCGCGTTTGGGAGGACGTTCAAAAGAAAAAAAGAAGTTTAAAAGAAGTTCGAGATCTTGCATTTTTAATCCTCTGCCCTGCGCCTCGCTTTTTAAACGTGTTCTGTCAGACCAACCCACAATCAAATAAATTCTCATTAAAATTCTCGCCACAGACTAACGTTAAATGTACAGTCGGATTCGGAGTTGAACGCGATGTATCGAGCAACTAAAGATAAAATTAATATGGAAAAAATCCAGACCCAAGGCCGCTGAGAAATCGGCTGATCATTGACAGAATTAACACGGTGCTGTCATGTTTCATATTTAGCTTTATATATAATAACGTTAACCCCTTCGGTTCTGTGTTGATCAAGTTTGCAACCGTCAGTTTAACGTTAACGTTGCCTGTGTTTAATATTCCGTTAGAGCTGCTCTAGCATTAGACCAGCGAAGGAAAACGTACAAATGAGCGCTAGGATCAAGAAAAACCTTCTACGCTCCAGAAAAATGATCAAATCGTATGTTTTTACATGATTAAAGCGGAAGCTAAGCCAACAGGAGAAAGACGAGCTCTGGTTCCTCACAGAATCGGAACCTGTGACATTTACTCTAAACTCGATCATCAGTCTGAAGAGCGACTCACCTCAGAATCAGTAAATGAGCAACTTCGGAAGATTTCCAATAACTGATCACTATCTATCGGATGCGGAGTGCAGTTTTATTGATCTGTGTGAGTGACAGCGCGAAAAACCCTCACTGGTTACCAGGCAGAGCACGCGGTTTGCTGGAAAATGATTGGCTGTTGACTCGGGTGGTCTGAACAATGATTGGCTAAGGTCTGAGCAGAGTGAAGTCTGATTGGATGAATCCCGCTTGTTTGTGCGGTCCTGATTTTGTGCATCAATGCTGGCAGTCTCTCAACTTTTCGTATTGTTTCATTACCTATATTAATCTTAACGGTAATTAACAAAACTGCGTTGTTTTTGTGGCTCAGGTAATATTAATATAAATAGTATCTTCTTCTTCACTCATGATGGGCGACATGAAAATATATAACTTTTGCCTTTTAATAAAGTAAATGTTGAAATTAATATATGCTTTAGAAGTGTTTTTCAGGATTAGCTTATACCAGATATTGGTAACTAAAATAAAAAATAAAATAAAAAATTAAACCTTATTGTAAACTGTTATTGACACATTTTTACTTCATGTGGAAAAGTCCCAAGACTACTTATTTTAAATTAATATTTTAATTATTGAATTGGTGTACTACTCTAACGAAATAAGAATGTGTAATTATTCTATTATTTGCCATATTCAGCAGCCTCTTTTTTCTCCATCATCCCATTCCACGGCGTTTATTCTCCACCGCCTTTCCGGATATTTTAAAGAGAACATGAGGTTTTCATAATAGATGAACTGCTCTAACGAAACCCAAGCTTTGAACGGTTTTTACTTTACCAGTCCTTTTGTGTGGACTCTTAAACTTGCCCTATGAAACAATACTAACACCATTAGCCCATTTCTACATTCTTCATTTCTTCTCTATTTTTCTTTGTTTCTTTGTCTCTCACGAGAATAACATTCATGGAGTTTCGCTTCAAAATTGCATGTGAAGACCTGTTTGAGATTGTTTTCCTCAGGATGAAAATAAGAGTGATAAAAGAGATGTAAGTTTCAGGAATGTGTCGCGTCTGCAAAAAGCTGTTTTATTAGCAGCTTTTAAAGTTTCAGCTTGACGGAAAACATCTGTTTTTAACTAAACCGATAATAACCCGGCGACGCGACTGCGCCGATGAAAGCCGTCAGACGGAGCGTTTTAAATGTCAAACTATCGATGTTATTTCTTCAGTTTTATTTGAGGAAACGTACACTGTAGTAGTTCAAAGTTTGACTCTCTATTATTCCTGTGGTTCGCGCGGTAAAAGTGAAACCCGCAGCCGTGGGCGTGGTTTCCCCGGATCTGACCAATAGTGGCGCAGAGCGCGAGTGATTGACAGCAGAGCGGCGGAGGGCAGGTATATAACCACCTGTGTGCGCTCAGTGAAGCGAGAGAGGCATCGCGGGAGAGGTGAGAGAAGACTCTGTAACTCTGCTTCAGGAACACTTACAGAGGGTTTTACTAAAGCTGCAGCTGAATGAGCGTTTCATGACTTTGTTCCTTGTTCCACTGATTATGTTGAGAAACATTATGCTGTATGTCTGCAGGTCAGAGGTCATGATGTCTGCAGTGAGGCTGCTGTCTGCGTTCCTTCTGCTGCTGCCATGTGAGCTTTCATTCCATTCTCGTTCATGTGCTGTGTATTTCTCAACTGCATCAGCAATTGTGTCCATATTTCTGTATATTTTGTTACTTATCTGGAAGGTAAATTGTGCTAAATGTGTTACTCAAGGTCAGCTGGAGGCAAAATCCCTGATGAATATCCTCCAACAGGAAGGTGAACATCTCTGTACTCGCTGAAAGGATCTAATATTAGTTTATGTCTTGAAGAAAAATTTCTAAGAGTTCGTGTGTGTGTGTGTGTGTGTGTGTGTTAGATGGTGCTTCAGTCAGGATCGACTCCAACAAGGCGAATGAATTCCTGTCCAGTTCTCGCCCGAGACGCAGCGTTGATCCACGCTGGCACAGGCAAAGCCCCCTCCCAGAAATACGATCCGGCCCCGCCCCTTCCGCCGGCCCCCATCGTCTTCAAGGGAATGGAGTACGACTGCGACCCTTACTGGGACCCCGACTGCCTGATCGATCAGCCGCCGCGGCCCGTGAAGGGTAAAGCCCTGCCGCCGCCGGTGCTGGAGGATGACGAACCGGAACCGGAACCAGAACCAGAACCGGAACCAGAGCCGCCGAAACTCCCACACATGTATCACAGCCGCCTTTATCCCTACAACTACCGCTCCGAACTCTACGACCCGCTCCGACACACCTAGAGTCACTCACCTCACTGCTTCTTTCATTGTGATTGATGTTCAGAAAGCTGAATAAAGTATGGAGTAATTTTCCCTGCTGTGTTTGTCCTGAATCCTGAGACTGTATTACTGTAGGGAGATGAGAGGGTCTGTATTACTTACGGCTAACTTGGATCACGTGTGCGTTAATAACCAATCACATTACAGCCTTAACGTCATAAGGTATGAAGAAGAAAGAAGGGAGTTAGAAACACAAGTTGGAAAACAAAACATGACCGTGGGAAATCTGCTAGGAACAACCATGTCTAGGGAAATACAGTCTCCTAATGAATTATTTGGAAAATACTGGGATAAGTGAAAGAAGGGGGGGGGGGGGATATATATAAATTTTTTTTTTGTTCTCTCCTTGTCCTTTCTTTCAAAGTACTGCCCACACTCCAGTCCAGTAGGTGGCGGTAAATGCACCTTTAAGATAGTTTGCCAACCGCCAATAAAATTTAAAGAAGAAGCCTTAACGTCATTGCATTTCAGAGTTGTGCGACACTCGGTCGTTTACGGATCTCGTAGGAATGAATGAGAAGTGCCTTAAACTGAATCCCACCTGTTGCTAAAACTGCATTTTTTTCATGTTAAACTCAAAACTTAAAATAGTTGAATCAAAAACTATTGTTTAGTGTAAAACATGTTGGAGATTAGCAGATAGGCTGTCGGTTCATTAAATGAGCTGTTTCCTTTAAACAGCTGTTTATTCAGCGTAGTGAAGCCTCTCCTGCACTGACACCCATTCAAACAGAACAGCTTCCGGTCTGCTTTCCGTTAGCATTAGCCGCTACGCTTGCGTGGCTCTGCTGAGGCTGCAGGAAGCAGGAAGCGGACGCTCGTGAAGGCTGTTAAACAGCAGGTTTGAGCTTCATTAGCTGTTAATGTTCTGCAGCGTTAGCATGAGAAACACAATAAACACACACACACAGAGCAGTCCGTCATTAACCGTGTAGCGTCTGGGTTTGGTGTAAGCTATTAAAAGGGCTTCATAAATCTCTCTGCAGGCATCAGCAGATCGTGTAAGAATCTCTTTTCAACTAAATTATTAACAATACAGACTTCTGTTTTGAACTTATTGACCTGAGCTTATTAAATAGCACTGTTTTTTAATTACATTCACATGGGAAATATTTAGTAAATATCATGCTTTAATGATTAGTTAGGAAGTTTGTCTTAAAATTGTAATGTCCTGAAGCAGGCAGAAAGAGCTGTGGAGCGAGTTACAGAGATTGAGTTTTCTGCAGTTATCCACACATGCTCATCTGAGACAGCTACATATTTCTCATCCATTTATTTCCAATCCATCGCTTGCATGAGAAAACAACTGGTATAAAAACAGCTTAAATTCTGAACATTATTGTGCATTTAGATGCTCTGTGAGAATAAAGATGTGGCATTTTATTCCAACTGGCTGAAATAAAGTGCTTAGGAAAAAACAAACAAAAGAATAATACATAACTTGAGCAGAAAACTGAATAATGATGCTATATTCTCTTCTGTAGCAATGCTCTATAAACAAAGTTGAAATGATAGAGTTTGACAATAATAAGCAGAATTCAGTAAATGATGAAGCGCTATAGAAATAAACCTGATTAATCACGGGAGGGTTGTGTGTGAGACGTCAGGTTTATTGTATGAACAGCACCAGCGGTCAGACAGAAGCAGGGGCTTCAGAAGAACAGGCCCCTCATGCGTCTGCCGATGCCCTGCCTGTCGTACAGCACGTTGAACTTGTTGATGAACTGGTTCATGCTGTTGCAGGTTTTGGTGATGGATCCCAGGTACGCCATCAGACCCACGTCATTACATTGCTGCAGGAAGACAGAACCCGTGTGAAACCACAAACACTTGAGTCGCTGTCTGCACATGATTCACCAGATCATGAGGAGTCCGTAATCAAACCTCTTATTCTGTAGAACAACATTGTTCTGGCTCCCGAACAGTGACAGAAGCACAGAACTGAAACACTCACATCATAGAAGTCTGTCTTGAACTTCAGCGTGTTGAGAACCGGCAGACGGTGACAGAGAGCGTTCGCCTCCCGCAGGATCTCATGATTGAACGGGACCTCACCTAACACACACACGCACACACACACACGAGAGAGTTTGAGGCTGATTTCTACGACTGTTCTACGACGTGTGTGTGTGAGTGAGTGTGTGAGTGAGTGAGTGAGTGCGCGTGTGTATGAGTGTGTGTGTGTGTCTCTGTGAGTGTGTGTGTGCGTGTGAGAGAGTGTGTGTG